ACAAATCGCTAACACGATCAGCTGATCAAAACAGTTAATGCAATCTGCTGGTCAAAACAGCTAATACAATCAGCTAACAGCTAACAGCTAACAGCCGATTACCAAACAAGGCCTAAATGTTTTTACATATGTTTTCTTTCCAAAATAGTTTAGAAAAGTTGTAGGTGACTTCACACCTTTCAAAAATAATATAAAAAATTTTAGATATTTCTACATATATTAATATAATAATTTAGGTGTTTTTAATATATTAAACATATAATTTTATATTCTCTTATACAAGATAATTTTACATTGTTTGACCCCATATCTTTAATTTATATTTATTATTTAATATTATCTATACTCCTCCTTAATTTATAGTTATTCTTTTATCTTCCCCTCTTCAAAGATGATCAATAGTAATTCTCACTTCCTCCATTTAGTTACTCAAACTCGAGTCCTATTTATAATTACTATTTGATATTGTTTCCAGTGCAACGCACGGGTTACACACTAGTATATACTTTACGGGACAAATCCAAAATCCTCCGACCAATCATGTCCCCTAACCCTAGTAGTATAAAAGAGTGCTCACCACATTAGCCTCCATTTCTTCTCTTCATTTCCAAGCATTTCCCCTTCACTCCTAAGCACAAAATATCCTAAGTTCTAAATTTCCTTAGCCACGAAATATATCCTAAGTCCAAAATGTGTTAAGTTCAAAATTTCTCCTAGCCCTAGCCTTGAATAAATCGACCCCTTTCAAAATCGAGCCTTAGTTCCACCCGAGCCCGGCGACCGAGCCCTAGTTCCGCCGCAGCACCAACCCTCATTCACACGCTCAGCAGTCGACCCTTTGTCCCGCACGCCATCTCCCAGGCGCCTAGTTCCAACCAGCCGCGCATCTCAGCTCCCCAGTCGCGCGTCCCAGCTCCTCGACCGCTCCAGCCAGCAGCGCTCAAGCCCAGATCCAGCGCCTCCGCCCAGATCCACCCAGCAGCATCCAGATCCATGCCCCAGCAGTCCAGATCCGCACGCCAAGGCCCGCAGGAAGTTATATCCAGCCAGATAGCGCACGCACGAGCCACCTCAAGCCCCTAGCCAATTCCTATTTTTCGTTTTTGAGTCCCTTAAGAGGTAGATCTATAAATCATCCCTTCAATGGCTTAGATATGAATTATAAAGTATTTTAAAAATATAAAATCATGAAAAATGGAGTAAGAATGTGAGATCTAAATTTTATAATGTTAAATGATTGATTTTTAGATCTTGAGATGTGTAAGTGATAAAAAAATGTTTTAAATTTCTAAAATCCTATAATAATGTCTTAAGGCTGAGGATGAAATTTCAGGGTTTTGGAGATCAATTGCTATGTGGACTAGAATTGTAGATCTAGATCTATAATGGCCAATTTATGTTAACCGAGTTAAAGATATATTCTTACTCAGATATTTTGCCCAAAAATCTTAAATATCATGTCTAGGTTGTGGTTAAAATTTGAGGATTTTTGGAGGTCATTTGATATGGTTTCAAAAATCGGGGCTCTAGCCTCAAATCGGTAAATTTTTGGATATTTGAAATGATGAAATATAGCTGAGGTTTGGAGATCTAAAATCCTTATAAATAGTAATGAGACTATGCTTAAAGTTTCGGCTTGAAATAAGTTAGTGTTGTTCGAAGAACTAGAAACCTAGATCAACTCGATTTTTGAGTACAGAGTAATTTTAGAATCCAGACATATTTTCCCTAGTCATGTTACCCTAGATGAACTCTAGACATCATAAGGAGCATGATAAGCCCAGGGTTTCCAGAAAAGTCACCGACCGACCGATGAGCCGCCAGTCGGGGCCACTGTCAGCGCCCAGCAAGCTGCTGAGGCTGCGCGCCTTGTAAAGTAACGCGCGCGTGCGCGAGGCCCCAACAAACCTCGCAGCACGCGCCGCAGTCAGCCAGTAGCGTGTCCACGTGCGTGTGCCCCGTCAGCGCTACCGCACGCACCACCGTCTGCGCGCGTCCTGCCCGTCGCCTACAGTTGCCCTGTTGCCAAGCCACCTGAGGGCGTGCCCGTGCACCAGGAGCCAGTGGCCGTGGCATCCGTGCACCACCAGCCGCGGTCCACCGCGCCCCTGCGCCAATGGCCGTGGCATCCCATTAACCCGTGCACCGACGAGGTTGTATCAGTAGTGTCAGCGTGTGCCCATGAGCTTCTGCGCCAGTTGACCCTGACCGCTGTCGAGACAGGCCGCACCAATCCATCAACTGACCAGCCGGTTCATGAGCGAGCCGGTGGTCCAATCCTGCCGAACTGGTCCGGGCAAGCCTGGTGGTTCGATATCTTCCAATTCGGAATTTCAGTTTGAGCGTGAGTCGAGATTTAAGCATTTTTAGAGTTGAGTCAGTCCAAGCTTAAGCCAGAGAAATTAGTTTCGAGTCAAGTCAGCTAAGTTAGACAACATAGTTCCGGACATAGTAAATCTTCCGAGAACCCTAGATAGCCTCAAGGAAAAAATTATTTAACTTAGCTCGTAAATCTTAATAATTCAGCAAGCCGTTAAAGTCAGACTAGAAAATGAGATTTAATTGTTTTAAAAGCCGAGCGAGCGAACCTAGTAAGATCAGTTATTAAGAACTAAGTTTTTCAAATTGAGCAGAATACTTAGAATATATTCGCTTAAATATTTTGTAGCTTAAGGAGGGGCGAATCTCCCGCTAGCTACAAGCATTTCAACACTTGCACTTCAGCATATCAGGTAGGGACCATGAATTGGGTATTACATTGCCTGTAATCTCTTTACCATGTCTGAGGTATGTATGTAGAGTTCTCTCTAGTGTGAGAAACTTATATCGCCTGGGTGGAAGCTAAGTGTCCTTAATTACCATCCTAGGTTCTGGTGGAGGTCTTAGTGTGACTTAATGTTCCATCACAGTGTGCACATGATTTACCGGCCTAGTAGCCTAGAGTTAATAAGCAAGTTCAGTTCAGGTCAGTTCAGTTCTGTTGCATGTATGCTTATTTCATGGTTATGTTATTATGGTTGATGTATATTCTGTAGAGGTCTCTGCGGAGCACGTGGAATTTATGCTCATGCCAGCACTACCTATTTTTTTAGGTGACGGAGTCCAGCGTGGCGCGTGAGCAGGTTGTGGTGGTGGTCAAAGCAAGTGGATATTTATTAAACATGGCGTGTGATTTATCTGAACATGTTGTGAACTAGTATGTTTGATCATTAACTTTCGCATTATCAGATATGTATGGGATCATGAGACATTAGACTATGCATGTTTAAATCTAGTAGTTTTCATAATACATAATCTCGAGAGTGGACTTATTTGGATGCATGCATGTTTTACCGGCCCAATGTCCGGGAGATAATAAGAGTTCAGTTAGAAGCATATATGTCTAATGTCTTGAGTGAGATAAAGAGATAAAGTAAGTTAGTAAGTTTAGTAGCAGACCACGAGAAAGACAAAGTGTTTTCGAAAAACTAAGTAAAAGTTTTCGAAAATTAAATCAGTGTTTTCAAATTATTAAAGCGCAAAAGTTTTACTCTGATTTTAGTAAGTCTAGTAATAGAAGGAGGGTGTTACAACGACCGTAAATAATCAAACAACACACCATGAAAATGGGTTAAGAGTATTGATCCAGCAGAATGGATCCACTTTTTAGTGAATCAAAGTACTAGCTACTGAGTGCACTTTCTCGTTATTACCTTATGGGTTAAGAGTAATCAGTAACTTCCGAAGTCTAGTTTATTTACTTAGTCAGTATAAATAAACTTATCCTCCGCGAATCTGTTCAATATACTAGTGTAATTAATCAATCAAGACCAACCAATCGAAATTACACTACAACCGTTTTTGATGGGTTGTTCAATTTCATCTAGGTTGTGAACCAAAACATGATATTTTATAAGTAATAAATAGTATGATCTTCGATTCATCAGTGATAAACCATATCTATCAAAATGTAAAATAACAGACATAGAATTGATTAATTAATTATGATTACCACTCAATCGGGAATAGTTGTAACAAAAATCCAAGTTTTCAGTATACATACCAACACTTTGGCATATGTTGCGTAAATAGGCATGAGTAAAGATGTCACCAAGATTTTGATTACGCTTATCACACAGGTAATCTCCCTATCACATGAGTTGTGAGTAATAGGATGAGACTATACCATATTCATATTGTGCATATGCAATATGCATTCTGATTATACTTTTGTGGTATAAATAAATTTTATAGTTGCCTTCGTAAGTCTAAGATGAGATTCTACGAGTCGAACATGGAATATTCCTGATTTCATATCAAAGTGTCAAAGTTGAATCTCAAGTGAGAGACAAATTATTACCTATATTTATCAGGTGGCTCAGGTTAGATACTTGGATAGTATCTAGACTAAAGATTCCAGTAACATAGTAGAGTGACATGCCTATCATAATGGGTGATATGTTATGACGTGTATATCACACTACGTGTGCTTTTAAATGACCATTATAGGATTGACAAATGTTTCTCTACTTTATCATGGTGTGAATCCTATGAATTATTTTGTTGTACAAAATTTTTTGTACAAAGCCGCAACTAAGTTGAGTTGAAGTTTCATAGTGTCTAAGGAGTAACTTATTTAATTTCACCACATAAGCCCGAGCGGTTATATTTGTGTATAACCTTATTGTGTATATAGCATGTAGAAACTATGTATGCTATTAGCGATTTTTGAACAGCAAGAGGTTGCCGAAGTATATATGAAAGTATTATGTTAGTTAGATGGTGACTTAATATAACACTGTTATTGTTACATTTGGCCGCACGCTCTACTACTCGAATGAGACAAGAGATTTGCTAATAAAGATTTGTGTTTAATCTCAGCTTAAGTGTTTAAGTAAGAGTATTGTTTTAATTGATGTTACATTGCATCAATTTAACTGTAACATCCATGTAATTATGGAATTGTTATATTCTTATCTCCATTAAGTATGGAATTATGACAGTGAGACTTTGAAGTCGTCATTCAATTGGAAAACAGCCCAAAAGCCGAGGATACAGCTCAAAAGTCAAATTTATTGAGAGGACAGATCCAGAAGATCGCCTAGAACAAACGCACCCACTAACAACAGATATTACTCAATTAAATGATTTGTGTTGATTTTTTTTCATGAATAAATTGACCTAATAGTTTCCACTCAATTCATAATTCATTAACAAATACAACCAATACCACCTACAATTTTGTTTGTTTTTCTCTCGCCCCACTCTAAATATGCATGGACAAAATAGAATTCCAGTTTCAGTTTATTCTTGCGAAAAATAATAATAAAAAAATAATGCATATCCTATCCTATTGTTTGTTCCTATACGACCAACATGAATATTAATTCTCAATTGTGATATAAATTAAGTAAATATACAGATGCGTGATCCCCTAAAACATATAATATATCTATAATTTGTGTGTCTCAAACTTCTTTCCAGAAATGGCTGCTGCAAGGGCTGATTTGAAGTTAGGATCACTTGTCAAAGTGGAGGCCATTTGCTCCACCAAGTTAAAGTATTGTTGCAACGATTTCGACCTACTTTCCTCTTGGATAGGCTTCGCGAGGTTTGACGCCGTGTTGCCACCTGTCAAGTTCCGATTGGACGCGGGAGTTGTGGGCTCCGGGTGGTTGTGCTCCCCTTCGTAGGTTGCAACTACTATTGATTGATCTTCTATACTTCTTTGAACCTGAGTGAAGTAATTAACAAAATTGTTGGAATTTGAAAAAAGTTTCTATAATTATATGAATAAAATACACTCCTAACCTTCTTTTTGACAGGACAAGTAGGAGCAAAAGAGCACTTGAAGTAAGCTCTAGGACAGGGGTTGTCCCTGGTCACTTTCTGTCCATATTTTCTCCACTGATAACCATCCTTAACAATCTGAAAAACCAAACAAACAATATTACTCTCACTATTTTATTTCATTTCTCAATTTAGTCTAGATTAGGGGTGAAAATTAAATCATGCCTAAATTCTATTTTGTTTCCAACAGAAGAGGGGACTTTAAATTAAATAAAGGGCCTTGTTTTGGGATTAATTATGAATGTGGGACTTACGAGGCTCGTATTATCGGATGCTTCGGTTTGCACGCAAACACGCGAAATCTTGGGTTTGATATTATTATGCTCTTCCTTTGGCTTCTTGGATGATTCCTCATAGCTTGAGCTGCTTTCTGATTGGCCAATATCATTATTGTTTCCATTATTCATGCTGCTTTCAGCTTTTCTCTTTCTTGTTTTACTAATATTATTTTCCAATACTTGAGGAATTTTGGTTGTGTGCTCCATCAATTGTTTCTGAAGCTGAGTGTAATTCTCGCACATTACTGTGACAAGTTCTGTCAGCTTCATGTTTTCAGCACTCACTCTCTTCAGCTCCTCTATCAAACCAAGTCTCTGTTGTTTTATTAGAAAAAAATAAAACAGAGTTCATTGTA